CTAACTTATAAACAACACCATTAAAATCCCGTTATCGATGTAGAATATGAGATGGAAATCGGTCGTAGCATTCTAGTCCCATATTGGCCATAAACATCGGGAGCTCGTTTGAATACAACACAAGTTACAATCGAGTTGTGCTCCTGGGCCTCATAACCTAGCGTGACTGGTTAGGGAATTAAATCTTACTTAATTCCTGTCGTGATGGCGGTACAGTACCTTTCCTGGTTGACAGAAGCTGACGCTCGAATTGCTGGTCACCCCGAGATGAAAACACTCTCCTTTGACTTCGCTCAATGCATGACGGGGGAGGGGGGTGTTCTTGATGATCCTTAAACCAACCACTTATGGCTGTGATACATTTTAATATATGGATTCCTACATAAAGTGTCACATAAATCATTCTGTAGTCTAATATTTAGACTCTACTGTTTTTGATAAGTGTTCTTGTACAGTGTGTGTGTGTATGTAGTAATGGTACTGTAATAATAAACTGCACGAAACTGTGTAATACGAGCCAGGACCATCTCCTTGAGTCGACGATGCTTGCAGTTAACGATAGGTCAACTGAGATCATCTTTTACAGCCTGGTGGTATTTGCCTACAGCTTTTACGACCATACTCTCCCGCTCCTAGAGTGAGAAACCCTTTATGGATGGGTTCTACTTATAAACCTTCATCGTAAAACTGCACTGAGCCTACAATTAACGTGATAAAAGTGGGGGTTTTCTAACTCTGAACCTAAGTAAGGCTGTTATTTGCTGTGATTTATATTGTTTTGCTCATCACTTTCATCACCTGAAGGTATGCGCTTCAGACATGTGTGAATATTTGTAACAGCCTACTATTCCATAGAGATACCTAAAACACAAACCAAGTTGATGAAAAATCCTAATTGAAAACATTCATCAGTATTAACTTTGACTTAAATTATTGCAAATTCGATTGGCTGTCTTGGTACGACCAATACTCTCCTTACAATTTAAAAGAATCATCGTGTAAACCTAACTAACTATATAGTATCGGCATTAAAAAAGTCCCACCACAAGAAAGATGGTAAAATTGGTTCTCAATAAGGAAGATAAATGTTTGCACAGATTGATGGATCGTGGTGACTTTGACAGTTGAAGAGCAAAGGAATGTTCTGGCGGAAGATAGACGACTTCTTGTGACAGTTCGTGCAGTCTCCGAGAACTGAACACACATTCGCCAGTCGCCACAAGATGGCAATCTTCTGTACGACTGCTGCTAGTTTTTATGAACCAAAGATCAACGTTTTATCGGGAGTATTTAGCGTTGCCTTGGGAGGTGAGGGGCAATTAACACTAAATATTCTACAGACTTTAACTTTATATTATATTCACGTAAAATAATCGAAATTCGTTATTTTAGTCCACAGGAGTTCGATATTTATATCATATTACCGGTCCAATTATAAACATTAGGTAGGTGTGCATTCACCCAAGGAAATGTTCCAGTCTTTAAAGATAATCCGTTTACCACATTTTAGCGAATTTACCTAGGGAAGTAGCTATTGCCGTGGGCGGCACGGTAAGATCTGCAGGTTTGCTGCGGCGGGGGTATTTATTAGCTTAATGTAGGATTAGTCATCTTTCTAGGTACCCATACGCGATGAAATACTTGCCCGATAATCGATTAAAACCAAGAGATGTGACTTGCGAAGAAAGTATTCATTGAATGTACAATTAAAACCTAATAGTGCGATAACAAAATAACCTCAGTAACAATTTCACGCGTACAACTAGAGGAGGCTATGATACAACACACAATGCATACCGAAAATCGAAAATACAATACCGGCGTTAGAGTACATTCACAATCGATTTTTTAGCTCCTAAACCGTTTGGCATGTTTGGGTGTTATGTTTGAACTGAGAGTTATGTATTATTACTCTGAGGTTTGAAAGCCACTAAACCGAACCTCACAGGTTCTGCAATAGGTAGGGATGTCCTAATGAACTACTGCAATAACTTACTTAACAAAATTTGGGTGTTATCAATCATCTAAGCTTGTTCACTGAACAGCAGTGAGAAATCACGTTTGTCTTGGGAGTTTTATAGTCTTATTGTTTACGCACTTCCTTCTAAGGTAACGAGTGGTCTAATTTGACTTTCTACCCGTCTATCAGGTGTTGTGACAATAGACGCTGTGACCAGACAAGAGAAGGGGTTCTATGCAAAAGTAAAAGTAGTAGAGTCGGTTTGACCTTTCGCCTGGTCCACCCACAGCCACGCCCTCCGGACTCGTTCCTTGCCCTAGTTCTGTGTCTCAACTCGACTGACTCACTGCTATCGTAGGAACCTAAGATTACTATTGTTGCCTATAGTAGATCAGTTGAAGACCGTCGTCGAAGCCAGTTCATACTCAAGCGGATGGGAATGAACAAACCGAACTCAGTCCCAAAAAAATACATATATTTATAAGGAAAACCATGAAGGTTGTTCTAAAAATGGTTGTAAAATCGAGTTGGATCGTTATCGTCATCTACTAGGGTACAAAAAAACGAACAATCTTTCAATCAAGTGTCACTAGTGATTAAATTAGTTACAGTATCTGTATCTGATTTTGGAAGTAGCTCTCGATTCATCAAGCATGGTATAGTCTCCCTTGTCTAATGAATGTAATTATGATATTAAGATGATACAGTGTTCTTGCCGTACTTTCTTGTAATTGTATTCGTTCTAATTATTTTACTAATGAACATTCTTGCGTAGTAGGAGGAGGGGATATGCTTTCTAAACCAGGGAACATTCAAGCTTCTGTGCTTTCATCATTATAGATTAATTATGGCTAATGAGTGTTGCTTTGCAGTCTTGACTATGGAAGGCATAACAAATCTTCTTTTAAAATGTTTAATTTAATGATAACACGAAAGGTTTCTTGCGAACACATTAGATTCTGGGAAAAACTGGGGAAATGTAATTTGAATGACTTGTGCGGAGTTGCTGCCAAGCTTAGCAAAACGTATGTTCATTTTGCCTACGTTTGCCTCTGTCGTTTAATATTTGTTTTTGATCTTAGGCCAACTGTTGGCCAAGAGCGTTTACCTACCAGCCACCGTACACATAAGGATACTTAACTAGCTTCAGCATGAGCATACAAGAACATAGCCTTATCACAACACCATTCCACAAAATATCAGTACAACTACTCAAAATTACGTTATCCATAGCAAGATCGGAGTAAATTTAGTATTCATTTACCAATCCTCACTTCAAAAAGCCCCATACCAGCTAAATTCAATAATCTTTAACATCCAGTGACAGGGGTGGGGGTCGCTACTCTGCGAGTCAGGAAGTTTGTTCTTTAGTCATTGAAGAACGCTGGGACTGAAATTTATAGGCGATTTACGTTTAAACGGCTATTTAGTCTCCTGAGTCTTCAAATTTTATAAATTTTGAGTTTCGCGTAAATTATTTTACTTAGATAACAAACTGTAATCATTGTATGAAAAAGCCCTTAAACCATATGACTAAAGGTGTGGATAAAGTAACATGTTATTTATTAATTATGGTCTTTTTCATAATAAATACAATTTATCATAAACCAACAAAGTAAATAAACACTCTGATGAATTATGACTTTCATAATAAACTTGAACAATCATGTTCCTTACTGAGGACACTACCTCTGCAAACTTACAGAAAGTAGATTATGAGTGACCTGCAGTTATGAAACACACTCCCTTGGTGTTAGCCATTAGGCCATGGCTGTAACGTTAGTTAAGCTTCTTATTGTAACATAATTTGAAAAAATAACACCTCGAATAACATGTAATAAAGGTAAGGCATTTCCGAAGTGCTCCGATTAAGATAGTGGCTGCAGGGCTTAGTTTTCCCTGACATTTGCCTCCCCCCCACCTCCTCAACATTGCTGCTTTCAAGACATTCTCTACACGAGACCGTGCTCTGGCAGCTAGCAGCTGTGGGATACAATGCCACAGTCAACTATAAACCAACTTCCCAAGGCACTTCCTACAGCTGTCACTTGAGCTGGTCTACAAAGTCTGCTGTTAATCTGTTATTTAAAATATACCATAAAATATGGTAAAATCCTTTCCAGCGAAAAGTAACATTCTATTACAAAAATTATGTTCTCTATAAACTGCGTCAACCCTAATAGGGATACAAATAATGAGTCCAATGCTGTTCGGCGTTACTGCAGGCCGATGAGTTCTGTAGCACTTGTCAAATGGAACTTTGGTTCTTCGTACAGTCCTGATTACTGTTCCTTCACAAAACTTGAATCGATATGGAGAATACTTGAAATTGTAGGTGAGTATTCAATTGTATAGTAACAAACAACGCGGATATACTTGTTCATACAACACAGCTCTTTCCCCCAAATAATTTGGGCGTGATACAGACACAGCAAACTGCTAAACTGCAGTGCCCCCGATTTCCCCCAATGCCCTCGCATTATCGAGTTTCGTTCTCATTTCCTATATACGTAATCTTCACTTTCCCCATATTAGGAGACCGACAGTATATTGTCCTGTAGGGTCGCTACATCGAATGATCGCCTTTACCGTAGAAAGCTTGATTTTCCACCATTTCCCCCGCGATCTCTCCCATCCAGCGGCCGCTTTGCCTGCAGCACGGTCAAGGCCGGGAAGTGCTCTATAGCTCCAGACTTGAACTTAAGCTTAAGTTAATATTTAACAATTTCAAACGTTGCACTGCTCAATGTGATTGTTCTTCTGGGAATAAACATTGAACAAGCTATAAAACACAGGTCATGTAGCATGTTTCAAAGATTTTTTTGTAGGAAAAAGAGTTTATAAAACATGTTAAAAGGAATTTGTCTTTGAATACACACTTTTGCGTTTCTTTCGAAAATTAATGCCATTGCGTGTCTGTAAGCTAATGGATGGAATGGGAAATAAAATCTAAATTCGTGTAGAGGCGCTTGCCTAGTAAAATCCCTTTTATATCGTATTATTTTGTTAGTTTAGGTTTAAAAACAAAGCAGGTACTTACATAATTGGTTAATATCGATAGCCACACGACTAGAGGCAAAACTATCTTCATTTTTGCTGAAACAGAAAAGAAAATGTTAAAATAATAATTATGTTTCTATACTTACACAAAAAATGAGACATTTTATGAGAAGGTTATGAGACATTTTCAAACACGTATACCTAGATAATTCATAAACTATACTGATCAACTAGTTAGTTTATCCTTCACTATTGTAGGCTGGTGAAGCTGTGGTAGCAGAGTTAATTCATTATCAGCTGATTATATAAGTCCCCTTTCACCGCACAGCTGACTGACCAAGGCGACTTATTGGCTAAACAGCTGAGCAAACTTTCGCAACTGGTCCAGATCAGAACCATTGTCTCAGTGCAACGCCAGTCCGAGCTTCTAATTTATTCCACTTATTCAAGTTACTCCGTTTAAACAGTTATGATTGATCGAGAATGGGATTATTAATGCAGTCCTTCGCATTAACCTATAAAAGGGGGCGCATAATTTGAGGGGGGGGGGGGAGTAGTGGAGGGCTAGATAGCTGTTATTTGTGATAGTTTTATAAATAAGACCTTGCTCTTTATAGCATGAACTGCAATGTTATCTGGGTTACTTAAGTTTTATTAGTTCTGGGGGGTTGATGTCTACAAGATTCTATAGCTGGGAATATATTTATAATTTTTGCCATAATTTTTCTAAATAACTTGGTTTAAGAGGGAGTTTAACGGACAGATTTCCACCACGCCTTAGGAATCAAATCACGTTTAAAGGCATGATATTGTAACCGAACAAAGGTATCGATTTACGATTTGCAAGTGAGTGGTAAAAGTGAAATGAGTGGAAAGTTTGGTCAAGGGCGGATTGTTCTAGAGCCGCCTCTAGTCACTTACACACAATCCGATGTCGTGTGTCCGAATTCCTACGGTTACAAATAAACACTCTAAACCCAGTTAATATACTATCGTGGTAATAAAATGACTAAATTAACTAATATTAGTTGTTCGCCCATTTTCTGTTTCAATTATGTAGGTATTGTTCTGATTAATTTAGAGCAGCTACCTCCTATGACACCTTTAAATTGCAATTCAAAAAGTCTCTTCTACAACAATCGAGTATGCCAGTTGAGCCTACAACTGAAAAGAAACGTGCAGGTAAACATGCCACGGCTACAAACAAGGGATGTTTTGCGAGAGTCAGTGGTGAGAGAGAGAGAGTGAGAGAGAGAGGTAGGACACTCAAATAGCCTGGATAGATTGAGCTTGTCATCTAGCCAATCTTTGAACAAATAATAAAGGTTTATTAAAGCTGAAACAATTTTACGAGAATTAGGGCTGATCATCTACCTCATGCAAGACGTATTCAACCGAGCGTTGGGATATTATCTTGAATACCTTAGCAATGAGCGTAATCTAATTTGTCTTGTTCAATACAGTAATAGATCTCTGAATTGATTAGTTAACCTATTTGTTAGGCTATTTCGTGGATTTATTCTTTAGGAAATAGGTCAAGGGGCTAATGTCATTGGTAATTCGCAGCATTACTAAAAACTAAAATTTTTTCGTAGATAAGAGACACAATACAGTATTATGTTATTTTAAAGAGATAATATTGAATCAATGTATTCGTATCTATAAGTGAGGAAGGCCACTTTATGTTAACAATTCTGAGATTTCAAGTCACAAGACAAGTTATTGACACCGTGTTGTCAATTGTATTTGAATATTTATGAGGTATCCACCAATCGCGTGGAATGGCGCGGGGTCAGCAAGGAGACGTATATTTTGACAGCCAATAGAAGCTCATGTGTCTTTACAATGATTGCTAGAATGGTCATACGGTTTAGAATATGCCATATAAACCCGAGCTCGTGAACCGCCTCATAGTCATACAACTTGTTATGCGTGGTTGGCCAAACGTTATAATACAATATAACAAAATGGAATGTTATTATACTTATAAAATCTATTTATTTTATGTGACGACGTTTTAGACATTGTCAAAGAGGAATCACACCTTCAAATTGAACGTTGCTCCATCAACAAGACAATGGATGACGTAAGAATAGGTGCAGGAGTTAACAGTACTTCCTCCACCCTCCTGGTAACGTAGTCGAACACCTCGATTGCCCTCTGAATCGCAATTCAATGGACTCGATTGAGTTTTTTTTATTGTCTGGAGGGAAAGTTTTAAACGCATCCACTTGAATTACAATACGGGTTGGCTTCCTAGGTTAATGTACGTTTTTATTGAGCTGATGAATAAAAATGTTTTCAAGATCCTCTTAGGGTTTTAAAGTTCAATATTCTGTTTTTGAACCATCGTGTTGTTTCTACTAATGAGGATGATAAACAATCCTACTTACGTGCAAATATGCTTTTTGAAGCGTGAAGTAAATAGTTTTTCAGGGTTCTTAGTGCTATTCTTTTGCAAAAACATCTCTGAACGAATGTCAAAGAAAGATTGATGGTCACCTTATCGGGAACTGAGCTTGTAAAAAAGGGAAGGCTCGAAACATTAGAAGATTTACGGGTTGTTTTTGCCCAAGGTGAAATGCCAAGGTGTAAATCTACTGCCTGAGTGAAGGGTTGCGTGAATAGTGAGATTCGTATAAAACATGGACCTCGTTTATGACTCTTTAAATGCTACCATAAAACTAGGTCATCGTCTGTAGAAATCGTAAATGACTGGTTTAGTGATTAGAACGGAGTGACTAGATGTATGAAAGCAAAATTGCCATAAATATCCTAGGAGAACCGCTGCTAACGATTTCCTCAGAGACTGAATCATCCTATTACGCAGGTGTATCACCAGATTCTCGTAACGGACCAGATCTCGGAGTGTTGCGACAAACTGGGGGTCGGCGACGGCGCGCCGCCTAAAAAGGGAGAAGAATTTGAGTGTGTTTGCGGACCGGGGTATAAATTCTCACCTCGTGTTGACTTGAGATATAATAGTTGTGTCACAAGCTGCTCCGCATCCGGCCGAGCGGTCAACTACAGTTGTTGACTTTGGACTGGTTTGTAACCTTGTAATCACCTCGGTAAACAACCTAAATACAGTCCGTAGCTGTGTAGCACGGAGGCCACTGGCAAGCAACTTTTTCCAAATGAATGGTTGCAAATCTCAGCTTTACAATTTATGACTCCGACCACTTTGCTAATTATTGTTCGGCTACCTTTGATTACAACGTGATCGATATTGAACGGTAAAAATGACGGACAGAATAGGTTTGTATTTATGATTACATCTTCAGTCGATGGAATTTTGGTTGACGACCTAAACATTTCGTAATAATAAAACAGGTTATGCTGAATCATTCTCATTCGAGACTACATTAGTCTGGCTGTATGCAGGACCTATCAACCGTTATTATCATATGTTTGTTACTTCATGTTAATCACCTCAAATTAGGCCTTTTACTGGTCTGTCTTCTCTCTCTTCTCACGGTCATAGAAGCCCCCCAAGCTAAGTAGATGTCCCCAAAAGATCATTGTTTTTAAATTTACCATGCATGAATTGATAAACAGTTTGTTTTGTAGAATACATATTCATCTTAATCCTAACCGCTCCAAAAGGGTTATATTCAGCCAAATAAGTGTTATGAGTAGTAGTTTCATTTTTCTAATATTTTTATTAATATGGGTTTAACGGTCAAGCTTGCATCATATCTAACTCCGATCTAAAATTTTAATGCCACGTTGTTTATGATGTAAATGTACTGCAAATTATAAATTATACGTTTACTAGAGTTTTAGAAGACTAGACTGGCGTAGTACACAGCTCAATCCTCAGGAATTTCTAGATCTGTCAACAAGGTCTCATATAACCACCTAAAACAACTTTCCTTATAATATTTTGATCTGAGCTAATCATTTATTGATCAGTTGAACGTTTTTGTGATGCTGAGCTGAAGGCTGCAGCAGAAGTAACGGTGAGGCCGTGTGCAGAGTGCTGCCCCCGTCTCGGCAGTAAATGGCAAGGTCGCTTGTGGTCGACCTTACACTGCGCCGGATACCGGGCATTGAATAGACCCTTGTGGTCACTGCAAGCTTTTCATCACATGATAACGCAGGGCGGCTCCAGAATAGATTCTCGTGCTGGAGGCAGCGTGTCTGACAATTTTAGATTTCTTTACCCTTCACCTGAATATGTAATGTCTGTAACATTAATCGTATGCATGTATGTCTTAGAGCATCTGCATAATAATGATATCGAGTTTACAAATTACTAATTGTCAATTAAAATGTTTGAACAAATTTGAGGGTTTTTAATTGGCTTGCCCTCTTGGTTTTAATTGCCATTATGCTCCTCTATTTGTACTGTCTATACTCTTCAGTTCATGCACGATACTGATATTTCCAAACCATTATTTTTCGTCGAAAAAACTTGCTCACGAAATTACTTTTATTGCTTACTTAAACCAAATGCTACTTCCAAAGCTGAAAACACACGTTTTCATTGATCACGTTAAAAGTCTACTTAATAAAGTACAAGATATTCGTCAAGGAAATGCATTTATACCAATTAGGTTTTCTTACGTGTCTTTTGGACTGAACGTCCACTAATGTGATTTTACAGTCGAAACAATTATTTTATTAGTATAGATTGCAGGATATCTATATTTTATACCTTAATAATACTGTATTTTTTTAATGAGTTGCGAGTTAATCTTCTTATAAGAAAAGAGCAGCAAACACCCGGATTGAACAATTAATTTCGATACAAATTGTCAACTGGGGTCTTAATAGGTTTGTAATAGTTTAACAAACCGTTTTACACACCAGTTAACTCTTTACTGTCGTTGCAGAAGGATTTCAGCATTAGCTGGGGCCTGGTCGTCAAAGTGTTGTTAGTTCTGGACGTTAACTATAAACACGTATTTCGTAACAGTGTTGGACGGATCCTTGAGTGGTACAAGGCCAAGCCCTAGTAGTATAGGATGCGCCACTTTCGCCGCTGCACCAATGTTGCATACATTGTACAGCACCAGTGTTGCATAAATTGTACACCATGCTGCATATATTGTGCACCACCAATGTTGCATACATTGTTCAATGCAACTTTG